AAATTGAATGGAAACGTCAATCTCTACTTAAATCATTGTGGGAACATTCTACTACCAGTCCTTCCTCACCTTAGACGAAATAGGGTGAATACATCTCATTAAACTGATTTACTGGTAGTCTCGAAACTCTTCTCCAATACGAAAATATGAAGGTATGAAGACCAAGATGATGTGGCTCTTTGTATGATCGCAGTCTACCTTCGTTGCATACAAGTTGTTTGAGGAACGCATCTTGTCCGGAGTCCATAGTATGCATCATCATTTCCAGAGTAGGACCGCGGACGTGGTACATTCACAGACGTTTCGCCGGCATCGTCAGTGAGTCTTGTCATTCGTAGCGCCATATTACAACTCGTCAAAGAGACAAGTGAAGCCGATCTTTTGACTAAACATGTGCTAAACAGTTGTGGTATCTCCCCTTCTGCCCTAGGCCATTCACATTTCCTATTTCCTCCTATCACGCCTTCCCTGTTGCAATTTTTACCGTGATATGCCCTAGCCTCTTGTGTGCCAACCCACAAACGTTGTTGTTCAACATTGAACCTAATCAAAAGCCAGCAGTATCACAACATTTGTGGGTTGGCACACAAGCAATAGACGTGTTTGATCTAAAACGTGATTCTTGAATCATGACTATTGCTAGCCAACTAGATCTAGCTTCTATTGCTTCTATCCTCTTTCCATCTCTAATACCAAGTCTATGAGTTCCCATGCCCTAGTCGCTTGTGTGCCAACCCACAACTGTTGTGGTACTAAGCAAAGTGAAATTAAAGGCTAAAGATAAAGGTGGGATAGATGGAGGTGACCAGGGTGTGCTTGTAGGTGTTGTGTGTTTTTTTCACATCTGTTTCTGGAGGGGAGGTTACTGGTGACATGCTAGACTGCGGAGGATACCAGCTAACACAAACACACACACACGCACAAAGAAACACCCTCCCAGTACCATAGGATTAGATGTGAATATCAACTTGAGAGATGAGAGGAGTGTGCTTTTCACGAATCAAAGAATAAGACAAAATGTGGGTGTGCATGAAGGAAAGGATAATTGAGTCATGGAGGAGATGAGATCACAGAATTGTATGAATAAGTAGATGGGCCATACGAAGTGGGGTTGAGAGAAAAAGATACGGCACTAGAAGTTAGAACAACAAATGAGGGGGAAGGAGCGATGCCAGAACGGCCGAACAGAGAATTGGTCACTTTGATCAGTTGTGACGCTGTGCCTACGATGGCGCTTCTCACTGACCATGCGGACTACGAGGCCGGCGAAACGTTTGTGAATGTACCAAGTGAATGGTCAAAGGCTGAAAATCACGATTACCGGACGCCAGAGGATACGGGACCAGGTACGCTCCACAAGGTCTGGCTGATGCTCCGATCAAGCTGCGCAAACAAGATCGAATCAACACTATAAATCTAAAGGAGACTGCGATTAAATAAAAGGCAACATCATCTTGGTCTTCACAGCCAAGGAAAAGTGAAATCCAATGTAATTGTGAGTCCAATTTATATGATTGTGGGAAGATGGAACTATCAATCCACCACCACCTCATGAGATCAAGATTGACCGTAACTCTGATTCATCTAATTCTTATAGTTCTTTAGGCTGTTTTCTACTAATATCCGAGAGAATCTGTTGGAATCCCTGAAAAACTGGTGTTCGATTGCTCAATAATGTTAACTCAGCACCCGCAAGTCAACCCAGCCTCATCCTTTAAATCCCATACTGCATGAGTCAGGATCAGACATCATCAGATCAGATCATCCTATTTTGCATTGGAACAGCCTAATTGATCGCAAATGTGACACGTTAGATCAGCAATGGTTGATCGGGGCGTGTGTAAAATGCCAGTAACAATTGCTATATTCATGTAATGACATGTATTCACCCTATTTTGTCTAAGCTGATGAAGGACTGGTAGAAATAGAATTTTCCCACAATGATATGAGTTGAGCTGACATTTCCATTTAATTTCACATAGCCTTGCTTTCCCA